GGTGCGGAGGGTGCCCGGGTTTCGGACCGGCTCCGACGGGGGCCCGTCCGCAGGGGTCCCCTTCCCGAGCTGTCTCCGCCTCGGAAGAACCAAGGGAGGATGGAGGCCCCCCGCGGCACCCGCCTTGCCTCTCCTGCCCTGGTGCCGCCGTTCCTGCCCCCCGTGGCGGGCGCTGCTTCAGCTCTGCTCGCCTTTCTCTGCGAGGTACCTTCGCTCCCGTGTTTCAGGCGCGTGTGCCTGCTGGGGGAGAGCACGGGTTCGGCCGTGTCCCTGCTACGCGTTGCCTCTGAGGTGAAGAGCTCTAACGTCTGAGGAGCTTTTGTGAAGTCCCTGTTGTCACGGGCAAGCGTAAACAGGATAGAGCAAGGCAACAAGTGGGGAGGAGGTACCTTCCTCTCAGAGCTCGTGTTTCCATCTCTTGGGCTTTTGCTGTAGGTTCGAGGACCCGTTATAGTAGAAGATACCTGCTTGTGCTTCAATGCCCTGGGGGGACTTCCAGGACCATACATGTAAGTAGAGGGGAGTTAGTCTCCTTCACCTTTCCTGTCTCACAATTAGGAGCGTGGGTCATTGGGATGTACTTCATGGGAGATTCTCCATGCACCAGTAGCTGTGGGGTCAGGAAGGTTGTTGCTGTTCTGGTGTCCTCAGTTTTATTCAGCACCCCTAGGGGCAGGACTTAAACTCCTGGAGCCCTGCTGTGATTCACTCTGCAGGACAGGAGAGATGACCCTGAACTGTTGCCTCTGGCTCCCCGTTGCCTGTGCCCGCTCTTGCAGCCAGCTTGGGAATCCAGTCCCACAGTGGCATCCACACGCGGGGGTTAAGATGCTGTGCGTTTCAGTAGGACTCTTGACTGAGGCTCCTGTAGGTTCTAATGTTTGCTTCTAACAGGGAAATGTCCCTCGATCTGTGATGTCAGCTTAATGCAGTGGAATCAAATTTATTCCTGGAGTTAATTACACTGAAGGTAATGCCAATGAAAACCTTTGGCCTTGAGTGAGAGCGCTACTTTTTTTTTTTTTTTTTTGCAGTTCAGGTCACTAAATTTGTATTACTGTGTACAGGGCCTCAGGGAGACTGCTTTAATCCAGCAGATAACAAAATTATTACAGTATAGAATAATTCCTCTAATAAAATAACTGCCTTAGCTCCTGGGATTACCTTTTAGTGGGATTAATTTTTTCAAACTATCCCTGCTTAGCTAAGCAGAGGCATAAACGCTTTATATAACTCAGTTGACACCAGAACTGGGCATAGGTTAAGATGTGCACAGGTTAGATTGAGAAATGGGCTTCAGCATGTCCGTGCTCTTGGGGAACTGGGTTGTTTACATAGACCCCAGCCTTGCTGTTGTTTTCACTGTGACCTATTTAGTTTAAGACTTAGGTTTGTGTTTATTGATAACTGGCCCAGATGGGGTGGTTTGGAGGCAGCCCATTTAAGAGGGATTTGAAGAGCTGTGAAAAACGAAGGCAACGAAGGCCTCAGGAATGGCCATGTTTCTGTGTATTAATGACACAAATTATCTTTTCTCTTTCCTCCTCCCTCAGAAAATGGTTCCTGGAAAAACTCAAACCAGAAGGTACTGCCTCTTTGTATTACTGCTCTGCAAGGAATCTAGTTCTTTCCAGTCATGGGCTCCTGGGGACAAATGTAACCGTGCAGCCGTGGGAAATGAATGCTTGCCTGTGCTGGGTTCCGCTGGGTGTGCTCGCCTGCCTCGCTGCCCAATTCATAGCCAGCTCCTTTTCCCTCTGTCCATCTCTGTCCCTTTGCATTCTCTCCTTAAGCTTGTTCTCTGCCCCGCTTCATTGGATGTGGTCTCCCTGGGTAGCTTCAGCATCATCTCTGCATTGGATTCCCCGATTTCTGCTTCTGTAGGCTGCTGGCGGGGTTTGTCGAAGTTATTTGCCTTTCATCAAGGTGATCCAGAAGGTCTCCTGCCCCCTTAGTGTCTGTGCAAGCTCCTCTCCGTGAGTGCTTGTGTGCCAGAGCGTGGTGACTGCATTTGCTCCCACAGTTAAGAAAAGAGCGTGGCTGCAAATCCCGTACTGGCATCCTGAGCATAGGTGTTAATCACCTAACTCAGAGTGGGCTTTAGCCCTTCTCTGGGACCACACGCTTGTTTGCTTCTGCCTCCAAGCTAACAGTGGAGCCCTGCAGCTCAAACTGCAAAGCCCTGGCTTCACGCCAGGGGATTCGGCCAAGAGCATCCTTTTGGCTTAGCTCTGTTACCTCCCTGTAATTCGTCATCTCTGTTGTTAATGTGAATTCGGAAAACTCACTTGATTCATCTCTAGATGGATGTGTCGCACACTGAAGGAAACGCTGCAACAGTAGGAGCCTTTCTCTGTTGTTCAGGTCTGTACAAACTGCTAGCCGGTTTTGAAGACAAATCTGCCTACGCTCTTTGTACCTTTGCGTTCAGTCCTGGAAACCCAGAGGAGCCAGTGAAGCTGTTCAAAGGCCAAACTCCGGTAGGTGTTGTACCTGGGGACAGGGAACATGCTGAGGAAAAGGGTTCTAATGTGAATCTGTTAGTGGCATTGGCTCTAGTAAGGACAGTGTTAGTGACCCATGGCACAGCTGGGTCACTGAGAGCCCTTGGAGCTGCTCTGTTGGAAAAGGGCTGTGGGAGCTGCAGCTGACAGTCAGCGGGTGCTACTTGCTGCAGCCCTTTCACCCAGCTATACGTGTCAAACTCTTTGTGCCCTACTTCAGTCTCTTCAGCCCTCTCGTGTCCCTCTAACAGGGCAGCATCTGGGTGACAGTGAGGGATGGAGATGCAAGTGGGAGTACAGAGCTGAACTATGTTCTTCAGTCAGCTTCCAGTCTATTTGCCTTTCCTTGTTGCCACGAATATGCAAGCTGGCTTGCAAGGAAGCTTTGGGATGGAAGGAGGGTGCGGTAAGGTCACCGACGCAGCTCTGAGCGCAGTCCTTAGTTCTGTTAACGTTAGATGGCGAGGAGGGGCAAAGGGGCTCTCAACGTAGAGCAGCATGATGGAGCACTGAGTTTGGGGCTGCTAATTTTAGTCATGTCTTGGGGAACTGCTGGGTCTGTAGATGGCACCAAGCCTTTGGTGGTTACAGTATGAAGTATGGCTGAGTGTAACTTTTCAGCCTGTGTTTGAAGTGTAACTGCAAGAGAAGTGCTGAGAAACCACAGCTTATAGGGCTTTTCTTGCTTTCTCGTGACAGGGGCAGATAGTTGAGCCCAGGGGCCCTAGGGACTTTGGCTGGGATCCCTGCTTTCAGCCTGATGGCTACGACCAGACGTAAGTGGCTTTTTACCTTTTGCCCTTTATGTAAGGAATGCAAGGGGTTGACATTGTTTCTTGTTGCCACGTCAAAAGGAACTGCTCACGAGTAATTGTGGTAGGGAGGAAACACAGTCCTGGATCTGAGTGCACTGGGTATGCGGATCCCCCAGATCAGGATGAGGGTTGTTGGTTTGGCTTGCTGTTGCAAGCAGTAAATAAGGGGAAAAAGTACTTTCGTATAAAATAAGCAAAGCAGAGTTCCCACCGTGCGGAGGGCTGCTGGGGAGCGTGACGGGATCCATTTTGCTACTTAGGAGAAAAAGCAGAGGAGGATAGGCAGGGCCAGCAGGATTTCTGCTCTTCCTGTCCCCCTCTGGGCACTGTCTGGCCCCAGCAGACAGAGCTTGCCTTGCAGGCACGGCTCCGCTCGGGGCCTTCAGGAGCTGGGAGCAGAGCAGGCCTGGCAGCAAGGGTAGCACCTCTCTGCAGAAACACCGAGGGCTCCAGGGAGCAGAGGCACGTGTTCCCTTCCCTGAGTAACCTGTGAGGGGTGCGTTACGGTCCTGCTCGTGGGGCTGCTTTAGTTTCTGGTCACGCCTGGTGGGCAGTGGCTGGCTGAAGCAGTCCAGCAGAGTTGTTTGGCCAACAGGGCAGAGCTGCTTCACTGGGCTGCAGGACAGTGCTCAAGCACAGCTGGAAGACTGCTGTACAAGCATGAGCTTGTTTTCTGTAGCTGAGAGGTGTGTGTGTGTGCTTTCTCTTACTGAAAGGGCTCCTGTGATTAATTTGGTAAGTGAATGTGCTTACGTTATAGACTGCAGAAGGTGTTAGAGGCAGTTCAGAGAGCCGGTGTAGGGAGCAGGCAGGTATAGGACATCCCCTTGCATACTGAGAACATGGGAAACGTGTCGCTACAGAGAGATGGCAAGCAAAGGGGGGATTCTCAGTGGCTGCAGGGACACATGCTATAGCACCTCTGTTGCTGTGAATTGTCTTGGTTGCTCTCACCTGCAGCTACGCTGAACTGCCCAAGGCAGTGAAGAATTCAATCTCGCACCGTTACAGAGCGCTGAGTGAGCTCTCCACCTTCTTTCTCCACAACAACTCAACAGATGCCCCCTCCAGTCCAAGTTAGCGTCCCACCATCTGCGAACGCTGGGTGTTGTACATTTCCCATACAAGGCTGTAAAATCTCTTTTCAGCTGTGTCCTTAGGTTAAAGCTGTTTGTTCTGAGGCCACAAATACTTTTTCCC